GGCGCTTCCTCCGCCGCTGCGTCCTGGCAGCCGTCGGCGCCTTCCGTCCCGCCGCCGGTGCGCAGCTATCAGAAGCCGTTTAAACACCGGGACCCGCCGCCTCAGCCGCCGCCGCCGCCCCCCCGGGAAGCATCGTTCCGCGATCCCCCGATGCCTCCTTCGTCTCGAGCGGAGGAGGTGGCGGAGCCGCCTCGCCCTCCTCCTGAGGATAAATGGGAGCCCCTCGCCCCCTCGACCAGCCCCTGCCTGGATATCGACATGGACCTGTCTTCTCCGCCACCGTCCCCTCCCGCGTCTTATATGTCGGGACCGGAGACGGACTCCTATGTAGCTCCGCCGTTGCCATCGCAGAATCAGACCTCACCACCGCTGACTTACCAGGGCCGTTCGCAGTTGTCTCAGGCAGTTCCACAAAGCTTTCCGAACCCGGCACCTTCAGCTGTTTCTCAGCCCTATCTGTCCCAGGCCCAGGCTTACCCACCGCCTCCCCAGTCAGCAACCCAGCCAGTGCAGCAGCCTCTTCCTCCCTCGGTCTCCCAGCCTGAACCTCCTTTCACCTCGTCCCAGATTACTCAGCCCCCTCCTGAACCTCAGGAGTTAAGACAAGGGAGTGGCCCAGGCATAGGTACCAGGCCTGAGCGACCCCTGCAGAACACCCCACAGGCCGACCCTTCCACGATGACACCTCAGGTAAGGACAAAGGATCCATTGCGCCTTGCCCCCCAACCTGCATTTGAGTGGGAGTTGTCAAGGTGGTAGGGTTCTGTTGCAGCAAAAGCAAGTTGTGTGGGGTCTTAAAGAAAGGAGTTCAGTTTGCCTCAAGCTTTTATGGAATAGGGTACAGCTAGGCTTCAGTCTGTGAAAGCTTGTGTCAGATAAAACATCTTGGTCTTTAAGGAGTCTTAGGGCAAGGAGTTGAAGCTTCACTTCATTTTTATTCCATTTATTCGTTGAAGTGTCCATTTTTGTTTGTTTCTGCTTTCTGTTGTCATATAGGGCTGTTTGATTATTAGTCTTTTCCTAACAAAGAGCAGTTCTGTATAGAAAGTAAGGTGAAGCCCATTTACTAGATTGCCATTTGTTCATGTATATGTTTGTATGATTTACACAGCACTCTTGTCTCTTCTTGCAAGCAATTGTATTTACTTCAGAAAATGATAACACATGAACCAACAGCTGGTCATTGGCCAGTGTCTGCTAGTAGACCCTTAGACAGGCAATCATGTGTGTATGCTCTTGTTTTCCAACATAAGCATATATGGTTGTTGTGGGTTTTTCAGGCTCTTTGGCCATGTTCTTAAGGTTGTTCTTCCTGACATTTCGCCAGTCTCTGCGGACGGCATCTTCAGAGGACAGGAGTAGCTCTCTGTACTCTGGTGCAGTTTGTTTGGTAGTTGAGTATATATAGCTGTTGGATCCGCTTTTGTCCTTTTCAGGTGATGGGTGATTATGGTGATCAGTGTCTTTTTGTTGTGGGTGTATTGTTGTGATTAGGAGGAGAGATTATCTGTCACTGTGATTGATGGGTGTCGTTAGCTGGTCTTTTGTGTGTAGTGATCACCGGCCCTTGTGGCTGGGTAGAGTTCGTAGACCTTTTGCAGGTTGTATTTTTTCAGTGCTGGGAGCCAAGCTTTGTTGAGATTTAAACTTTCTTCTTTTTTGTTGAAGTTCTACTGGTGTTTGTGGATTTCAGTGGCTTTCCTGTGCAATCATTGCTGGTGTTGTCAGTATTTCAGTATTTTGAAATAGAATTTCATGTCCAGCTTGTTTTAGGGCATGTTCAGCTACTGCCAATTTTTCCGGTTGTTTTAGTCTGCAGTGTCTCTCATGTTCTGGTGTGGATGCTTCGTTTTGTGGTTCCAATATGTACCTGGCCACAACTGCAAGCATTCACACTTGCGGGATTGTATCAGATTGTATCTGTGAGTAAAGCCAGTTGTGGGATTGTATCAGATTTGACTTTTCTTCTCTGTTTTTTGTGTTGTTCCAATGCAAACCAAAGAAATGAACATGCGAGTACCAAAACATTTTCAAGTGCAACACTTTTCTGAGAGAAGGGTTGCATTTTCTGACAGAATTGCATGGCCAATATTTTTGGCCATGACTGTAGATGTAAATACATGTTTGCTAGAACCTCTAGTATTTCTGTATTTAAAATCGACTTATGTTTTGTTGAGTTTGAAGAACATTTTCATGCTGAGAAACTGTATATTTCTGATTATAGCTCTGTGTATGATGATGCAAGGACTGAGTAGCTTGAGGTTTTATGTGGCAGATTTTTATTTCAGGATTTTAAATGAACATTATTATGAAAGGGAGGTTGATTTTATTTCTATTCCAAACACAGTATATGCATATGTACTATCAATATTTCTCAGTAATTGTGAGAGGCCAAAATTCAGCTGGATCCACTACTTTTTTCTACCAATGGATATGGGACTTTTCCCTCCTCCTCACCTCCAGTGCTGCCGCCGCCACCATTGTGGCACTAAACATCTGCTCTGTTCGGTTCGGAAATTCCTTAGCACCAGATTTTTTTTTATCACAGAGGACTGAAGATCAATGAACAAAGGGAAAGGTACTCTTGATTCTGCTTGTGAAAGCAACATATCCAACATATGCCATTAAATGCTGGTCAAAATAATTGTTCCACTTTCAAAAGTTTTAATTGTTTGCTTATTTAAAATATTTATATACCACCTCTCTCCTGAAGTATCCAAGGTGGGTTGTAGTATTTAAAAGAAACAAAGTTAAAGCCAAACAGTAAGTTATCATAACAGTAAAAATCAATAAACAGATATGATATTAAAATTCATAATAGAACAATATTAAAAACAGAAGTTAAACAAAAACTAAAACGCTCCCTTTAAAAATCCCCTTAGTAAACCAGCCATTTAAAGGAAAGCCTGCCTGAAGAGAAATATTTTCATCTGCTTGCAGAAAGACAGCAAAGATGAGGCCAACCTGGGCACCCATGGGGGGAGGTTCCAGAGTATGGAAAATGACAGAGAAGGCTCTCTCCCATGTCCTTACCAAATATAGTACAGTGGTGCTTCGACTTACAAACTTAATCCATACCGGAATGGTGTTTTTAAGTCAAAATGCTCGTAAATCAAAGCACTATTTCCCATTGAAATGCATGGGAACGGGATTAATCCATTCCAGCATTTCAAAAAAAATACTAAAAAAATTATAATAATAAAGCACACAGAAAGCCCCATCGGAAGGCGTTGGGGGCTTTAAAAAAACAAAAATAAACAGAGCAAGCCCCAAAGGCTGCAAAACCCCCGACAAAAAACAAAAATAAACATCGAGCAATCCCCACACCGGGACTGCAAAAAACAACACAGCACAGAAACATAACCTCCCCCTCAACCAAAACCCAGCCTGCAAAACCCACCCAGAAATTTCTATAAAGGAAAAAGCAGTACCTTACCAGGCAGACTGAAGCCTCCTCCAATGGCACTCCCTCCCTGGCGAGGAGCCTCTTCCTGTGCCACTGCCGCACACCCTGTCCACAGAGGAGCCCCTCCGACCTGTGCGCCTCAGCCCAGCACCTTTGGCTGCCCTTACTCACGAGTACACCCACACCAAGAATGGGCAGGGAGCACACCAGCTTTCCGCGCCTGGCAGCAATCCGGACCTGCCTTGGCCTCTCCTTCCCCCATCCAGCACCGCAGAAGTAAAAAAGTTCCCTGACCCCCTACTCTAACCATTGGGGCAAAAGAGCTACAAAGAAGCAGCCTCTTCGCCATCAACAAATTTCCCGCCTTTTTCCCCTGCCTTTTTCTGTTCTTACGTCGAAGCTCCACTTGCAAGTCGAAGCAAAATTTTGCAAGCAGAGCTGCTCATAAGTTGAAATGTTCGTAGGTAGGGGTGTTCGTAAGTAGAGGCACCACTGTACCTATAAACGTAGTGAGACTGAGAGAAAGGCCTCTCCTAGTGATCATAATACCCAGGTAGGCTCATAAAGGGAGATATGGGCTTTATATAGCTTGGACCCAAGCCATTTCGGGCGTTATAGGTTAAAACCAGTACAGTGGTGCCTCGCATTACGACGTTAATTCGTTCCAGTAAAATCGCTGCAGAACGAAAACGTCGTAATGCAAATAGAAAAAACCCACTGAAACACATTAAACCCCTTTTAATGCATTCCAAAGGGCTGTAAACTCACTGTCCATTGAAGATCCTCCATAGGAGCGAAAAATGTGTCCCAGAAAACAGCGGGGGGCCATTTTGTTTACCCGGCAGCCACTTTGAAACCGCCAATCAGCTGTTGGAAAATCGTCATTTTGCGAAGAATCAGTTGCCGAAGCAGGGAACCGATCATCGCAAAGCAAAATTCCCCCATAGGAAAAATCGCAAAAGCGATCGCAAAAAGTTCATCGTAATGCGGTTTCATCATTAAACGGGGCAATCGTAAAGCGAGGCACCACTGTACTTTATATCCAGTTTGGTTGATTAGCTAAACTGATATTTTAATTCCCTTCTGCATGTGGAAAATAATTGCAGTTTCTAAGACTACATAGCTCCCATATTTAAAATATGCCCTTTTGGTGGCAAGTTTTTTAAAAAATTGTGCTACGTTTGCTTGAATATTTATAAAATATAACTAGTGGTGATAGAGAAACCAGATCATATCCTTATATTTTTGTTAACATTAACTGGCCTTCAATGAGTTTTGACTTGTCCCAATGAAAAATAAATGAAGATAATTTTTATGTTAAATTAGTTTCACAAATAAATAAATGCTGCTTTAAATGTTTGCATGATCATAGTCACAGTTAAAAGAATTAAACACTTATGGGTAAGCTTGAATGCACAAGAGAAAGAAGGTAATATGTGGAGATGTTTTTGATTTTTTGAAAACTAATTTTTTGTAACAACAGTACAGTCAGTGTTAATGAACTTTCATGTCTACAGGGGCCATTTTAACCATTTACATTTTAAAGAGAAAATTAGAAAGTAGTGAAAAGCAGTACTGCAATGACATGTAAAGCAATAGGCCTTTATCTCATAGCACCAACATTATTAGTAGCAGAGCATTGTAGAAGCAGGACCAACTATGATTGTATATATTGCTTCATCACACCACATTGACAGAATTTGCCCCTGTATCACAGTCATTAGGCTTCTGGCTTTTCTGCACATGTCCAGAATCTGTGGGCACACTTGTAACAACTAAAGATTAAAAAATTAAGTTCTCTTGCAAATTTCATATGCATATTTTGAAATTAAATGTTTTCAGCCATAGAAAAAAGTATTTTTGTATTCGTAAAAAAGCACATTGATGGAATGCTGTGCAGAGTGTCATTTCCTCCATCTGAAAGCCAAAGATTAATTGTATAATAACAGGAGAGCAGGGGTTGGGGTTAGGGATCTGAGCAGTTGCAAAACCAGTTAAAAATACTTTGCTGTGATATAGAATTTTTTAATATAATTCAGTCTTTTTCATTGGGTTTTTAATTTGTTCAGACTGAGATTTGTGAAGCTAGAGATTTTTTTTATTTGAATATCTTGTTATCTTGATCTGTTGCCAGAAATATGAACACAGTTTGCACAAATGTGTGAATTTGTTCTGACTTCTGAATGTGCAATTTTTATTATACAGAAAATATTGGGGTTTATACAATGTTAGAGCAAGCAGATCGAAGCTACATTTTCCATTTGCTTTTTTTTAGAGGTGATGC